CTGGATATGGAATTCTGGGTTGATCATTCTTTCCTTCAGCATTTGAAAAATATTATGCATCTTCCTTCTGGACTCCATTTGAACTGGAATTCCCTCTAGATAATGTGTCATTTCTATCCGGTGTTTAAGAGTTTTCTATTGTCCTTAGATTACAGAAGCTTGATCTTGATGTGTCATGTCATGGATTTCCTTGGGATTATTATGCTTGGGGTTTACTTATTTTCTTGAATCTGTAGGTTTATACCTTTTGCGAAATGGGAGATTTCCAGTCCTTATTCTGTTAAATAATTGCTCAAACCTATATTTGTTGTCCTCAGAATTTTCTATACTGTCCACAGGTTCCTGAGGCTCTATTAATTTTTTCTCCGTCTATTTCTCTAGCTTACTAAGACTGGGTAGTTTTTAATGTTATGTCTTCAAGTTCCCTGCTTTATTACTCTCTCTTAGCTATTCATTTTTAAAAATTTATTTATTTTACCCATGCAGGAATTTTGAGTATTGTATTTTTCAGTTCTAAAATTTCTATTTGCTTCCTCTTTGTATCTTCTTATTCTTGCTAGGAGCTTTTTTTTCTTATTTGCTTCAAGTATGCTTATAACTGCTCACTAAAGCTCCCCCCACCCCAAAGAATGGTTGCATTCAAATTCTTTTCAGATAATTTCAATGTCTGTTTCTTTTCAGCATTGGCATCTACTTTTTTCCCCCTAAATCAAGCTGAGACTGTTTCTGTTCTCAAGAGGATGAGTGATTTTTCAATTCTTAGACATTTTGTATATCATGAGACTTCGGATATTATTTAAATCTTTTGTTTTAGCAGACTGCCACTGACACTATGCTGGTGTGGCATGTTGAGCCCTGCTTCATTACTTCCAGGCAGATGTGAAGTCCTGGCTCCCTATTTGGACATCACATGCACTGTAGAGAAAGTGAGGTATGCCTCATTACTGCTAGGTGGGGGTGGAAGTCCAGGCTCCCCATGTGTGCCATGGGTTTCCAGTGACATGATAGGGGGGCGGGATGCAGAAGGAAGCTCATTCCCTCTGGCCAGTGTTTAAAACATAGACTAAAAGACTTGGTCTCCTTGGATCCACCCCAGTAGTGGAGGAAGTGTATCTCATTACCAATGGATGAGGATGGAAATTTAGGCTTTACTTTAGGCTTTTGTTGATAGAGCCAGGAGAATTACACTGTGTTTACTATCAAAAAGTTTTTTTCCCCAGCTGCTCCTTTCCTGGTCATTTGGCTAAAAAACAAAC